CAGTTTCTAACATTCTTTGAAATATGTGTCTGCTTACATGAGCACCGAGACACATCATGTTGGAATTTCCACCCTCCCTCCATAATTCACACATTAGAACAGGTCAATAATAGGATCATCACTACCCCCTATCACTTTCATGGCTTTCTCACCCAAAATCATAAAAGAGGGGACCAAAAAGAAGGAACAAAGGGGGGCTGTTGGCTGGAAAGCTACTCTCATCACAACAATTATGAGCAGTAAACTCTTGAATCAATACGCAGCCCATTTGAGCACTGATCATGATTTCAGGAGTAATATAGGCTACAAATCAAATTGCAGAAAAGCTGAAATGTTCCAGTTCACCTCTCCAGCATAGTCATAACCTAGTATGTCCATTATATATTGGTTTCTACATTAAAATATATAGAAAATGTACTGAGAAGCACTGTACCAAAACTGTTTGTGGGAGGGGGAGGGGCTCGCCACCACAACTGGGCTGTGCATTGAGTGCATCCATTGTGGATCATAGGATCATAGCTGTACTCCACCCACTTTGCAGTGCTTTTATGGATCTATGGAAGTTCATAGATATCTCACTTTTTATTAGATTGAATGTTGCTGTCATGTTAGATTCCATTTCTTCAACTCTTCCTCTTCTTTCAAGGCCAAAACTAGGAAAAGGCATTATAAATTGCCTTAGTACATTTTCAAGCAGGAAGTGTTTACAGGATGGATGGCTGCTGTTACTATTTGCTCTGAATATAGAATCATAGAATAATGAAGTTGGAAGGGGCCTAAAAGGCCATTGAGTCCAACCCCTTGCTCAGTGCAGGAATACAGATCAAAGAATATCTTCCAGGTGGTTGTCTAAGTTTCTCTTGAATGCCTCCAGTGCTGGAGCACTCACCATCTCTCAAGGTAAGTGATTCCATAGCTTTGCTGCCCTAACAGGAGGTTTTTCTTGATATTCAACCCAAATTCAGCATCCTGTAACTTTAGCCCATTATGACATGTTCTGCACTCTGGGATAATCAAGAAGAGATCCTGCCACTTCTCTGTATGACAGCCTTTCAAATATTTGAAAAGTGTTATCATCCCACTCCAATTTTCAGCATCTTTCCTGAAGGGTGGTGTCCAGAACTGGACACAGTATTCAAGATGAGCCCCAGCCAGTGCCGAATAGAGAGGAACTAGTACCTCACGAGATCTGGAAACTATACTACTGTTAATGCAGCCTAAAATAGCATTTGCCTTTTTTGTAGCTACGTCACACTGTTGGTTCATATTCAGCTTGTGATCTACGACAATTCCAAGATTCTTTTCACTTGTAGTATCGCTGAATCAAGTATCACACATCTTGTAACTATGTGTTTCTTTTCTTTTTCCTAGGTGCAGTACTTTGCATGTATCACTGTTGAATTTCATTCTGTTGTTTTCAGCCCAGGTGCTCAAGCCTATCTAGATCATTTTGAATTTTGTTTCTGTCTTTCAGGTTATTAGATGTCCCACCCCATATTGTGTCATACACAAATCTGATTAGCATTCCCTGTACCCCCTGATACAGGTCATTAATAAAAATGTTGAAGAGCACCGGGCCCAGGACTGAGCCTTGGGTACCCCACTTGTTACCTCCTCCCAGTTTGAGAAGGACCCATTAACCATCACCCTCTGAGTATGATTCTGTAGCCAATTGTGTATCCACCTGACACTTGATCTATCCACCCCACACCTAGTTACCTTGCTAATCAGGATATCATGGTCCATTTTGTCAAAGGTTTTGCTGAAGTCAAGTTATACTACATCTACAGCATTCCCTCTGTCTATCAGGGAGGGTACCTGATCAAAAAATTAGTTCAGATTAGTTGGCAGGATTTGTTCTTGTCAAGTCCCTGTTGGCTTCCAGTTATTACTGCATTGTTTTCTAGGTGCTTTCATAGTGACCACTTTATCATCTGCTCCAGAATTTTCCCTGGGATTGATGTCAGATTGATTGGTCTGTAGTTCCCATCTTCCTCCTTTTTGTCCTTTTTGAAAATATGGACAATATAAGCCCTCCTCCAATCATCTGGCACCTTACCCATTTTCCATGATTTTAAGAAAACAATGGACAGTGGTTCTGACAGTTCTTCAGCTGGTTCCTTCAATATTCTTGGATGCAGTTCATCTGGCCCTGAAAATCTGAACTCGTTCAAGGTAGAAAGGTATTCCTTGACTATTTGTTTATCAATCTCCAGCTTCAGTCCTGTCCCCTCCACTTGCACTTGGAAAAGTTATTTCTGGATTACAGCTTCCAAAATTTCCCAGACACTGTAACCACTGGGCATGTTACCTGTGAAACTCAGAGGTCTGTGGTCCAAAACTGGATTTTTCCCAAGCTCTGTGCCTGCCACATTTGCAACATGGGTCACTTCTGTGGTTCATGTGGATGATGAACAAGACATCCACCATGTGGGATACAAATCATGGTCAGCCTTACCATGTATGATATGAAACTATTGTTTGGGCAGATGATACCAGAGAGGAAGACATTTCCCCATCTTCAAGGATGACTTCTGCATGACTCCCCATACCTTAACTACTTTCCCCTGACTAGGAAAAAGTTTCACTTTGACCATTTATTTATTTATTTATTTATTTATTTATTTATTTATTCATTCATTCATTCATTCATTCATTCATTCATTCATTCATTCATTCATTCTATTTATACCCCGCCTATCTGGTCAAATGATCACTCTAGGTGGCTTTATATGAATGTGGAAATAAATAAATGGGTGTGTCCTTTGTCATGTGCTTGCCAGAAGCCATTTTGCACACTGGGTTTGGGGACATGTTATCTTGCAGACGGGAGGGATGTTCCTTTCAGCTCCAACAGTCTGATTGCCAATAGAGAGACAATTCTGGAAGCACAGATTTTCCTAATGTTTACATTACAGTCACATCAAGTGATAGCAGAAAATTACATTTTTCATTTATTCGAATTTGCTTGCATGAAGGATACAATAACCTGGGTTCTGAAAAGCCAGAAATCAGGATACTTCCAATAACTGTTCTTTTTTTAATGTAGGTATAAAAACCACCTACTTAGAAGTACATGTTCTCACCATTCTCACATCTTAGAGCACCTTAGAAATTCAGCTTGTAGGTGGAAGTTAGGTCCTTCTGCATAAAGGCACTCTGGATCCCCTCCCCCCCCCAACAACTTTCATTTAATTTTCATTCTATTTGGCTTTGAAATTCCTGCATGTTTGGGAAGCAGACTCACCTAGCAGAGCAGTAATTGGTAGGAAAATCTGTGTTTCCAGAATTCATAGAATCATAGAAAAGTGGAGCTGGAAGGGGCCTACAAGGCTATCAAGTCCAACCCCCTCCTCAATGCAGGAATACAATCAAAGCATATCTGCCAGGCGATTATCTAGGTGATTGTCTCTCTATTGGTAGTCAGACTGTTGTTGTTGAAGGGAACATCCCTCCAGCCTGCAAGATAGCAATTCACCAAGCCCAGTGTGCAAGCCTTTAGGTAGCCATGGACTGGAAAAGGGTGGAAGACTATGAGCTCTGTTCATTTCTAGCATATGAACAACATCCTGCACTCAGATTTTTAAAATTCTAATTGTTTATATCTTTTGCATCAAGCTACAAGAATGGCAGGATTCAATTTCTTGAAAAAACAGTAGATCTAACAAACCTAACTTTGCTTTAAGCAAAACTGTACACAACAAGGAGGTAATGGCCAGAAATTATCATAAGACTGCATGTGGACATTTGTTATTACTTGGAGTCTTAGAATCACTCTTTGTAAAGGGCTACACTGTTTTATTTTCAATCCCCTTTTTAATGATACCTAGCATGGAACTGGCCTTCTTCACTGCCCCCGCACACTGGATTGACACTTTCATCGAGCTGTCCACAAGCACACCAAGATCTCTTTCCTGATCCATCATGGACAGCTCAGGATCCATCAGCTGATATAGAAAGTTTTCAATTTTTGTCCCAATGTGTATTACTTACATTTTCTTATATTGAAACACATTTGCCATTTTGTTGCCCATTCTCCCAGTTTGGAGAGTTCCTTCTGGAGCTCTTCACAATCCCTTCTGATTTCACCACCCAGAAAAGTTTAGTGTCATCTGCAAACTTGGGCACCTGCTTATTCCTAACTCCAGGTCATTTATGAACAGATTGAAAAGCACCAGTCCCAGGACAGATCCCTGGGGCACATCGCTCTTCACCATTGTAACAATTTCCCACTGATATCTATTCTCTGTTTCCTGGTTCTCAACCAATTCTCACTCCATAAGGGGACCTGCCCTCTTATCCCATGACTGTGGAGTTTTCTCAGTAGCATTTGGGGAGGGACCGCGTCAAACGCCTTCTGAAAATCCAGATATGCAATATCCACTGATTCGCCCACATCCACATGCCTGTTGACCTTTGCAAAGAATTCTAAAAGGTTTGTGAGGCAAGACATACCCTTACAGAAGCCATGCTGATTTTCCCTCAGCAAGGCTTGTTCTTCTATGTGTTTTAAGATTTTATCTTGGATGAGGCTCTCCACCATCTTCCCTGGAACAGACATCAGGCTAACTGGCCAGTAGTTTCCTGGGTCCTCACTCCTTCCCTTTTTTAAAGATTGGTGTGACATGTCCTATCCTCCAGTCCTCTGGCACTCTGGCCATTTTAAGGGACGAGTTGTTTGTTTTAGATCAGCAACTTCATTCCTCAGTTCCTTAATAACCCTTTGGTGGATGGCATCTTGGCCTGGTGAGTTATTGATCTTCAATTTATCAATTAGGCTTAAAACGTCCTCTCTTTTAACCTGTATCTGATTTAATTCATTAGTCAGGAGGTACCGTTCAGACAGCAGAATCTGCCCAAGGTCTTTTGTCATGAAGACAGATGCAAAGAATTCATTGAATTTATCTGCAGTGTCCAAGTCCCCCTTTACCTCCCCTTTACCTCCCTCATCATCCAGAGGGCCAACCGCTTCTCTGGCAGGTTTCCTGCTTCTAACACATTTAAAGAAGCTTTTATTATTCCCCTTTATATTGCTGGCCATA